TGTAAAACAAGGAATAATTTCAAACTAACATGGAATTTATGACAATGCATTAAAGCTACTCGTGACATTAAGTGTTAATTAAATCTAAAGTATCACATATCTTATCAATATCTTGACTATCTTGAGTGCACTCTTCTGTCTTTACTTCTCGAGCTTAAAAAAATAATTTTTACTCGATGATTCTTTGCTTTCGCTTAATTAAAATTTTGTAATTTGATGATAGTATTAGAGATATTATGTATTGAAAAGGTTTGAAATGAAAGAGTGAATAGTGGAGAGGTAAAGTTAGTGTTTACTAGTTTGTTTGTTCAATTGATTTGACTGGTCCAAGCACGGACATACAACATTGTTGAAAAGTAATCAATGGGATGTGAAAAGTGATGAAAAATTAAGAAGTGAGTAAATTAGATAGGTCAGAAAGCGGCGGATACATCGACGATTGTAAGACTGCACATACAATACTAAAGAATCAAACTTTGAAATTAACTTGTACTCACAACCAACATGTTAGTCATGAAAAATAATAATAATAAATATTTAAACATTAACTAATCACAAATTTATCTCCAACAAACACAAAAAAATTAATATAAAATACATAAAAATATTATTAAAAAAAATAAAAAAATACACTAAACTATTTCATGGTTAAGTATAAACACATAAAAATTGAATAATCAACAAGATTGTTTGAATTTATATAATATTTCAATTTACAAGTTTTCATGATCAAAGAGTTCAAACATATTTGTACAAACTATATATCATTGTCATGAATAATTTAGAATAATATTTATTCACTAAGATAATATATTATAAGAATTTTAATCCAAAATTAAATTTTTTATGAATGTTAAAAACATGAAATAATTGTGATTTCAAAAATTAAATATATTTGGCATGATCGTTCATGTGTAACAATAAAGATTAAAGATAAAACATATAATCAAATAGTAAAAAAAATAATTATTTTTTATTAAAAAGTGTTAAATTCAAATACATTAGGTTAAATTTAATAAATTTTTATTACATAAAATCGAACAAATTGTATAAAAATCTATTTGATAATTGTGAAAAATTAATTAAATTTTTTGATCATTGAGGTATATTTCATAAGTTTGTGAAATTATTTAGTTGTTCATGTATGATTTTATCAAAAAATAAAAAATAACACATTTATTTTTAACTTGTAAAATTATCAATGTCATATAATTTAATTCAAATTAAACAATTGATTGATATGTTTTTTAAATGTTATAATTTATTACATTTGATTATGAACCATTAATATTATATTTATATTAATTTTGATATTTTTAAATTTAAAATATCTAAAATGTTTATAGAAGCATAATTTATATAAAATAATAATTTTTTAAGAATAAACATATATTTTTATAATATTTTTATGTTAAATCAAGCCAAAATGTGCTCTTTTTAAAATAAATATTGGTACATAAAATTTTCTACATTCATTTGTTGAATATTTATTTTATATGTTTTTTTTAAATAAATTTATAAGACCATATATTTGTACGATAAATAAATAATAATAAATTTTATAATTTCATTAATTATTTATCCTAAATATATAATTCATAAATTTAGTTCTAATCATATTCTTATGTTTTTAATTAGTATTGTTACCTCTTTTTTTATTCATTCAAAAATAACATATATTTGATGATTATTTTTCAAAAATGATGATATGGTTAAAAAAATTATTAATCTTTCAATGTGAAGATTTTGTTTTAAAGATTATTTTCTCATTTATTTTATATACAATAATAATATTAAAAATTTTAATTTGTTATTAACAAATTTATTCATATAAAATAATAAGAATTAAAATTTTTTATTATTTAGAGAGATTTAAATAAATAAATGCATTAATTTAAATATATATAATTATTTTATATTATATTTTAATTTTATTTATTTCATAATTATGAAAAAAATTTACAAAATTTATTTCTATATAAATAATAAAAATTGAATGCTACTCCTGCTTTGCAAAAGGAGCAGTGAAAGCAAAACGGTTACTACGAGAGCACGTGGTGGAGAGAGGATGGGGTTGGTTTTGGAGCAGAGCTACCTGTAAGGCATGCTACTACCGAGACAGAATAGCATGCCTCACATTCAGGGGAGGGGAGGGGAGGGAGCATGGTTCTTCCAACTCTCTTCTGTCGTTCGAGTTTAGTCAGCTTCATTCCCCTCGGAAATTCTTCATGACATCTCCCTTCTGTTCTGACAATAGATTCATTGCTGTTGGACTCTAATTTTGGGCTGCAGGAACGACCCCATATATAGAAATTTCATGTTTGATTTATTTTGGAATGTAAAAAGAATTTATTTTTAATATCAATCTATATTGATTTTATAAAATAGATAAAATTGAAATAAATTGAATCTGAAAATATTATTTAGTTGCATTTTTAAAATAAAATTAATTTTTTCTATCTTTCTTGAAGAGTGTTTTCATTTGGATGTTAAAACGAATGAAATAATTGTTGTTTATTATTTTTTAAAATCATATTTTTGAAATTTTTCAAAATTTGATGAGAATAAAATTTTTATAATTTCTCTATTTGTGTATTCAATTCTATTAAGTCGTGGTTATAAACACCAAGTAAAAGAGAAATTACATTCTTTGACAATCTCTAAATTTCATGATTTATGTGATTTCATTTTGACACAATTTTTTTTACTTTTGTTTGGATTCTTTGGTCTATTGCGATATTTTATAATTCATGTGAGTTTATTTTAACACAATTTATTTTATCTTCTTCTGTTTGTATGGTTGATGGTTTTGAAATAATGAATTGAATAAAATATTTTTTAATAATGTTAGATCTATTATTTTTAATTCTAATTTTGATAATATCATTATAAATCAAAATTGATTCACAAATACAATAATTAATAAACTTGTAATTCTAAGTCAAGATTTTAATTAATTTTTTTAGCGTGTTTATCATAAATATTTGCATGAAATAGTTAAATTTTTTATTTGTTTAAATAAAAAATGAAAAAAATTCTATATAAATTTTTGAATTTTTTTCTAGTAAAAATTATAAAATGTATTATTATAAAATGTTCAATATATCAAAATAATACATATATTAACATTAAATTTTTATGTATAATGATCATATAGATGTAACTATCATAATATATATTTATAACATATTTATTAAAAAATTATTATTTTTTGAATATGAATGATTAATTATAAATATATTAGTGTGATTTATAATTAATTAAAAAAATAAATCATAAATTAATTATCATATAATTTAAAATAAAAGAACATCAAAGGGTAAAAAATTGTATTCTACTCAACATTTTATACAATTTAGAATTAAGATTTAGAATAAAAACCAAATGGAGCATGCACATCAGCATTAACTGCGTGAGAAGTTGAGCGCGAAAGCTTCAATCCTAGAGGATCGCACGAATCGAGATCATCATAGATCGATCAGCACTTGAAAATGGTACATGCGGAAGCATGTTCGCTCTCTATGGAGCCTGAAGGCAGTACAGTACTCTGCAGACGTAAGGCACAGGAACCAAACCGCCGCAGCATCCAGTACAAGGCAGACGAGGACAAGGACGCGCACGAAGAGCACCAACTCACCAAGGAGACATGGACAGTCAGGTCTGCTCAGCAAAAAACCAAAGCTATAATATGAAACAGATTTTGATGGAGTCCATACTCCAGTGCCGTGCTCATGCATCATTGCCGGAGCGCACTACAACACAAAATTGACGATTGAAGGAGCTAGATCCAGTCTGAACAAGTCCCTAAGACGACATTTACCCTTGAATCTAACTGTCAAGAGATTAACTAAATCATATGTCAGTCGGTGCGTCATGAAAATATGGTTGTCATGAAACCGGTATACCGAGGAAACAAACAAGAAGTCCACAACTCATCAATATGCAGAAATGAGAATAAACTTAATATAAAATCTGTAATCTTACACGTCTTAACAGAGGAGAGCTAACTGCAGTATTGGCCGTAATCCTCCTTGGCACTCAATCCGTGTAACTTATATGGGGAGTCCTAGCGCCCTTGCACGTGTGGAGAGATGGCACTTACATGGGTGCAGTTATCCAGGCCCGACTGTACCTCGTAACTATCTCCTGTCAGGGTGCCCGTCATTAATATCCGGTGCTTTACGTTATCAAGTCCTCACATCGGATTGCAGCTTCTTTGCTCAATTTCCCGCTGCTTTTCTGGGGCGATGCAGAATACTCTTTACTCTCGTAGATCGCATGTCAGTTACAGAATCTCGTACTCCGAGGCCATGTGACACTTGTTCGCTGCCGATCACGATTTCACGCTTACGGGATTTCCACCCGCCTCTTAAAGACCGAAACCTGTACTATCCAGAGTCGGGGCATGGATTCGGCAGCAGGCCCACCGAGGTCCGCTATCATTCATGGCTTTCATTGCTGCCTATGCAAATATTTGAATATACCCTCGTAAAAATGGTCGGCTCGTGACGTAGATGATGAAACATAGTGGCTCTCTGCTGGAGTCGAGATCGAATGAATGAAGCCACGAACTGTGGGAGTCTTGATTCTTCAGATGTAAATACACAGAAGCAAATGCGAGCTTAAGGTAGTTGTGAGATTCCATCGTGCAGATTAGATTATTCCTTTGATTATTCCAAATGAAGTTTCGTGGTGAAGAGAGAGGAGAGGAGGATCTTACAATACTTCTATCAGGGCGACCGTAGGGCCGGTGGAAGGTCAGTTGAGATTTTGAGGAAATTAGTTTTAGAGCGTGGATGGAGGAGGAGGAGGAGGAGGAGGAGTCGTAGGGAGTCCGCTTTCTCTCTCGGTGCGCTTTTTAGCGTCTGAAGCCGTAGGAACTACGACGAGGGCCCTGAGGTAGAGCCTCTGGGAGTCCGTGCCGCAGTTGGTGTACTGCGGTACGTCGTAGTTGTTGACATTTATGGCCGCGAGGCAGTACAGCACGCTCGTCTCGTCTCGTCTCGTCGGATCGTGGCTGACTCCGGGGTGATGGCTCGCATCGTCCACGGCCTTGATTTGTGACGGGAGTCGGTGAGACATCTGATTTGTTGCAGCGGCAGCAGCAGCAGGAGGCTTGTAAACAACAATGATCACGGACTCCGGAGACGGGTCATGTACAGGCCAGGACGTAGCTTTTCCTGGAGGATTTCGGTACGGCCGCAGAGATTCTGCGCTGCCAAAAGTTCATCGGCAGCCTCGCGATTTTATTACGAGCTCGTAACGATTGTGAACGACATCGTCGAGCCGTTGCACGTTATGACTATGTCTGACCCGATGAACGACCGACCGACCGACCGAGAACGACGAGAGACTCATCACATGCATTATGAAGCTTAAGGATGAAGAGGCAGGAGGGAGGAGGAGGCACATTGCCTACGGCATTCCGTTGTTCTCTGTCTGGCGAGCGCTCCGCATCTCCGTAGGAGTTGTTGTCTGTCTGTATGGGCGATGCATATGATGCCTCGAAATAAAGGCAACATTCGGTTCTATATGTGAACACAGTGACAGCGACGGCGATATCTTCCAGCATTCCATTCCCTGGGCAGTATTTATGACTCCCGTCTTGGAGTTTGGAAGCTTGTATACGCGGCATCATCGTCGTTGCCCGGCGGCATTCATTCAATTGCAGCCGCACCGCTGCATGAGTAAAAGCCGGGTCGATAATCTCTTCTACTTTCACTCGAAGGACGAGGCTCTCGTGTAATCATTTCCCGACTCCGACTCCGACCCTGATCCCAGCCAATCCCCACGGCTGCATCTGAGCTGGTTGCCGATGCTGCAGCTCAGCTCCACTCTCCACATTGGTGCCCCCAAGACGCTGATTTCATGTGGTAGCTCGGACCCGAATAATTGTCTTTTCAAGAGAACTCTTTGCTCAGACACTGCGGAGCGCGAATCAGGGAAACAGTGGCTCGTGATTTCCTTTTCTCCCGCAAAGACTCGTACGTCTCCGAGTGCTATCATGTTAGAGTGTCAAATTCGAGGGGCAACGGAAAGTGTGTATTGAATGCTGGCCTCAATCGGGAAAACATCGACAATTACTCGCTGCCTGCTTCGGGTTTTGCCTACACATTGTAAACGTAAGCCTCCGAAGGCCCCTGGGAGGAGGAGCAGCAGCAGACGAGGCACTCGAGTGCAGGCTTGTTGTAGGTCGTAGCAGTCGTCGTCAACACATTCAGAAGTGGATAAGAGCAGCAGGAGCTGCCAGTGCCGACGAGCCGACGGCAGAGAACAATGTCAGTGTGTTGGTGAGGGCGGGTTGTCACCTATATACGTCGCTAGTTCGAGAGCTGTGAGTCGTGGAAGGCTAGAGACTGAGAATTCGAAGGCCATGGGGCCTCGGTTTGGAATTCGTCAGCATGTGGAGTCACCAGCGTGGGAGGTTCAGGTGGGCGGTGAATATGTGGTAGTGAGAGGTGGATGGTGGTGTTGCACGTCATTGCAAGGCTCACTGTCAACGAATTAAGGCAGGAAGGCAGGCAGGAACTCGGCCTGGAACGTAAGAAGTGACGTGACTGGTTTCGAGAAGTTTTGTCCCACTTCAATTTCACTTCGACATGGGGAAATTCAAGGAGATTTTGATTCCGGAGGCGTCTTTCAAGGACTTTTCAGCTTACAGGACTGCTTTGTTAGAGACGAGGATCAGGTTCGGTCGTCGAGTGTTCGCCAGAGCTGATGCAGACTCCGAAGTTCTTCTCATTACCCAACGGAGTGAGAACCAAATGAAGCGTACGCTGAACTGGTAGGCCGTCGTGCTTCATTCCAGCTCCAGTCATCGTAGTTCCGGGACTGACCGTGGTCTCCGGACTGCATAACACTGTTCCAAGACTCCAAAATTTGAAGGTCATGCTGTCGTTACAATCGACCCGACTTCTGTACCTCGTTCGCTTGTATGATTACGTACGACAGCCCGAGCAGGCTGAAGCCGTCGCAGGAATGATGAAGCAATAATCCGTTACACTTTCTGGAGTCCAGATTGTGATGTCCCTGCCGACGGAATCATTAAGCACTCTTGGCAGTGGTAGTACTGCCTGCTCAATCGATGGGGTTGAATTCCTTCGGAGGTGTTGTAAGAGTTGCACATGGCCCGTACCAGACTACAAATTCGCACTAACGCAAGAATTTTGTTGGTGCTCGACTCTCTCTTCGTTGCAGGTGGGACTTGATGTGGATGTCCATCGGTGCAGTGGTAGGCTCCGGCATCTTCGTCATCACTGGGGAGCAGGCGAAGTATGTGGCTGGACCGGCCATCGTTCTCTCATACGTAGCTGCAGGCGTGTCATCCATGCTGTCTGTATTCTGCTACACCGAATTCGCCATCGAGGTTCCTGTCGCAGGTAGAGCTTCCAAATTTCATGCACTTGCAGCAATTTTGTGCACGGTCGTACCATAGTTTTGGTTGAGAGTGCGAACAAGTGAAAAATTGCGAAATCGGCCCTGGGAACATGAAACTGCTGAACGCTTTGTGAAGTCATCAGAATTAGCGTCACGAGCTGGGTCAGGAATTGGGGGTCGAATGAAGTTGAAGGAATGCAAATGATTCCATCCGTGAGGTGGGTATGATAATTTCTCGGAACTGAATACGCAACTTTGCTGAATGTGATGAAGGTGGATCGTTCGCATATCTTAGAGTGGAGTTGGGAGACTTCATCGCGTACATTGCAGCTGGAAACATCGTTCTGGACTACGTCGTGGCCTCGGCGTCGGTTGGGAGGGCCTGGACGTCCTACTTCGCCGCTCTAATCAACCGTCACCCCGATGATTTGCGAATTCACACCAGCTTGGCGGAGCATTACAATAAGCTGGATATCATTGCGGTGGGAGTTCTGTGGATCACGGGATTCCTGTCGATCGTGAGCGTGCGCGCCACCTCCATAGTCAACTGGGTTGCATCCTTAATCACCATGGGAATCATATTCTTCATTATCGGCGCCGGATTCGCCAATGCCCACTCTGAGAACTACTCCCCGTTCCTGCCCTACGGGACTCGGGGCGTCTTCTCGGCTGCAGCGATCGTGTACTTCGCGTACCTGGGCTTCGACGCAGTAGCCACTCTAGCCGAGGACACCAAGAACCCCTCGCGAGACATTCCCATCGGGCTTTTGGGATCCATGTCGCTGGTGACCGTGCTCTACTGCCTCATGGCCGCATCTCTCTGCCTCATGCAAAAGTACGTTTCGATCACTATCCTTGTCCATGGCCTGGCAGCTCTGATGGTGATTTTGTCAGCTGTGAGCTTCCTGTCCTGTACTGATCTGAGTTGACCTCCTTCCGTCCTCGTACTCCGCAGCTACAAACTCCTCGACCCGCAAGTCCCATTCTCGTTCGCTTTCAAGTCCGTGGCCGGATGGAAATGGGCTCAATACGTCGTGGCCTTGGGAGCTTTGAAGGGTCTAACGACAGTACTGCTCGTCGGCACCGTCAGCCAGGTACATCAATCTCTGTCCTGTGTCGGAAGAATCATCAGCTAGTGAAAGCAATTCCTTTTCTCAACCTTGCATGGCACTATTGACGATCCATGTCGGTAGATTTTGGCTTTTGCATCGGAAAAAAGGTGGAAAGAATTCGTCATTTGTCACAGGCTTAGCAGCTTCAGCTCTTGCTTGAGCTCTCGACGTGCTGTTACTGAATTTGCAGTCCGGGTTCGAGTCGCGAAGGGTTGATTTAGAGGGTTTCTATTCGTCGATGTAGCTGCTCTCGACTAATTGGAGAGATTCGGTCCCTTGACTTCGATTGTGCTGTCGATTGATGCAGGCGAGGTACATAGCGCACATTGCCCGCACGCACATGCTCCCTGTCTGGTTCGCTCACGTGGATTCCAAGACCCAGACGCCGATTCGTGCGACCGTGACCATGCTGGGCTTGACGTCCGTGGTGGCGCTATTCACCGACCTCGACGTGCTGGCGACGCTGCTGTCAATCAGCACGCTCATGATTTTCATGCTCGTGGCCGTGGCTCTGATCGTTCGGCGATACTACGACCCTGTGAGGACGTCTCGACAAACGATGTGGTGCGTCGTGTCGCTGATTCTGCTGATGGTCGGGAGCTCCATAGGAACTGCCCTGTACTGGCGGCTGAGCGATGGCTGGTACGGGCACGTGATCTTCGTCGGCACATGGTTCGTGGCCACCGCAGTTTTGTGGCTATTCTTCCCCATCGAGCGACAGCCCAAGGTGTGGGGCGTGCCTCTGATGCCCTGGATCCCGTCGGCCTCCATCGGAATCAACATATTCCTCATGGGCTCCATTGATCGAGACGCGTTCATCCGGTTCGGAATCTGGACTGTCATCATTTTGGTGTACTACGTCTTCCTCGGCCTGCATGCCTCGTACGATGCGGCTATGGAGATGCAAGATCAGGAGCAACGACGGCCTCCGGGATTGTGGAATATTTTAGCCGAGGCCAACCCCAACATCAGTCGATCCCCGAGGCCGAAAGGCACCGTGAAGAGCCCCAAGTACGGGGAAGACGATCCCGAGGACGATTATGCCTTGCAGTTGTCTGCTCCGACCAGTCCGCTCAACCTCGTGCCTACGTGAAAGAGAGAGGACCTCCACATACATTCAGCCACATACATCGAGCGTTCAAGCTCTCTAGCGTTAGACTGGTCCGTCTTTCTTCTGCACTCGCGGAACCATAATTGTACATTGGGAGACAACTTTGTAATATTTCTCTACCATCTGTCATCTCGACTCTTGAATTGTGTGTATGCTGTGACATGCATTACGAATGATTGCACCCATCACTCATATTCTGGTATAGAGCTGGATGCATTTTGAAGAAGGTACCGTACGCTGAATCTTGTGCACAAGAGGTCTTACGACAAACGTCCCGTAGTCAAGAAGTGAGTCATTTTGAAGAGTGTTCGTGGGCACATGAGAACATACTGAAAGTTTGTCACATTAAAGCTGTAATGGACGTCACGATGTTTGAAATTCGGACAAACTCTATAACTGAAACGAGTTGATCAGCTGGATAAATTTAATGAACTGTAAATTGTAATCACGTGTGAGTAGTTCTTACTACATACAAAACTTGTGACGAGCGCTCGCTCCACAAAAAATTTCTGCTCGTACGAAAGAACGGAGTGCCACATTTGCAGTCAACCTGGAGAAGTGCGCACTAACCCATAAGGGGATATGATAGGATGTCTACTCAAGGAAACGAATCGACATAACTTCATTCAACAAGCTGCCTGCCGAAGAAGTTCTGTAGTAGCCTCGAAGGAGATCATTGTAGACAGACAGAGTGAGTTGGAATTTCAAAGTCTGACGAAGATCAGTGTGCACGGTCCGCGTAAGTTGGAAATCCAAAGCCTGACAGGTGTACTTCGTTTCAAGCAGCAGTGAGCCAGCGGCGGACGACGGTTGAGATGTTAGCACCAGGTATTCATCCCTTCTAGCCTGGTCGACACAGGATGTCAGACTGAAGGAGTTTGAAAGATCTGCTCGCAAAAATTCGTACAGTTCTTTCCAAATGTAACTCACCTCTCTGAGAGTGTCTCTCTATCTTCATAGGCAGTTTCTCCGAAATTTCCCAGATGTGCTAGATTGGTCTGTCCCTGGGCACAGCAGTTCCCTGTCGCAGCAGGCCATAGCCTGTCACAGATTACTCTGTTGCAACGTGAGGGGCAAAGTTGCCAGTCGCTCCCACATGTCAACAAATCCTGGAAGTCAGTATGCGTCATCCATCAACTCCTGCGAGTTAGAATCCATGACCTCTTTTCTGAACCTTCGTCCTCAAAATTTAATGACTTTTGAAAAAAATAGAGAACTAAATCTCGTGAGTACTGCAAACTCTGATCCAGATGTGCTGTCCATATGTGCACAGTATGTGACACCAGTGTATTCGGAAAGCCTCTGCAAAGACGACATCAACTGGTTGCGGCTAACTCATTCGCCATGAACGTCGGTTCCACAGTTCCGCTCTAAATGCAGCTGTGTGCCCACTTGAGCCCCATCAGCCGCATATCACACGACCAAGAGCACACCTGACACTTGAGACTGTAGACATAGTGGCTGTTGTACCAACAGTTATTCTCTATTGCTCAAAGCGACGCGCAGAAGCTTGTACTTAAATGCCGGTTCAAATTCCAGAAGCAAGCAGAGAGTACTAACTACCTAAGTTGATTGCAATGAAGATGGCAGGCAGATGTGTAGCCAGTAAGTAAAGGACGCACGCAAGACGAAGGGATCGAGGGCACAGAAATCTGAGAAATGCAAGAGAGAAGTCTATTTCGAGTAGCTGTGAGGTCTCCATGTTCAAAGAAATGGAGCTGGGATTCGAGGCCTGCCGGATGCCTGCATTGCTCTGCGCACTGCCCTGTAATACTCAATTGGATGTGACATCACTCTGAAGATCGTGGTTGGACCGAGTACAACACAAAGGGTCATGATGAATGACAGGAAGAGACCCAATTCCAGCTTCAGAAGTAAGAATGCCACATCTGTGATCAGAAACCACAGAAAATTCGACATCAGGAGAAGTGTGTGAACGGTAGAGGGAGGGTGAGAAAGAATGAGGTTCAAAACATTCGTCGAGAACTAAACTATCGAGGTATTGTAGTCAAACTCTTCCAAATGCAGAGATCGTGCTCGAGGAGCAAGATATCGGGCTCCAGGAAGGATCTCATCGTTCACACATAGAAGCACTACTCCAGGGTACCGTTAAGCGTTAATCAATTTCATAATAACGATAACTTTTGATTCAATTTCGAAATGGTCAGCTTCTCGGGTTGTGCATGACACCTCTTTGAAGGGCCATCCAGAAATTCAAATGTTAAGAATGAACGTCATGCAGAGAATTCTTGGATCATTGCAGTATCATCTCATTATGTCCAACGCTGCAAGGTCAGCCTCGCCCGAATAGATAAACGTTTATATCTCCAAATTTCAGATACATACGTTCATAACATGTTTCTAAGAAGTATTCAGGATGTAGAGGCTCTGAACAAGTTCCGTTGACGCACCGATTGTTGATAGGGGATATCATGTTGCTATTCTTAGACTGTTACCTTCCAGCATTCAAATGAAGGGTTCATGTGATGGTACCCTTCCGTGCCCAGAGCATTTTTATTGCATTGAAGTTAGCTTGAAATACACAATGTTCCAACTCTCCATGATGATGAACTTGACTTCTTCCTGATTAACAAGAAGAAAGTCAGTTCATTGTAGACATGTTTCAAATGATCTCTTCTACTTACATGGCTGGCATGAAATTGTGTAACATATTTGTCAATTGTTATCGTTATGATCAAGTTTTTATGCGTGTAAAACCTTCTTGTGCTAAGAGACTCTCGTCAGCATACATTTCCGTGATTGCTGATCATCTGATTGTGAACCTGTCTTTTATAATACCTCCATACCGAACAAATATGTGATATCCCAAAATCATGAGCGTTGTGAGACTCATAAGCTTCAAATATAACTCTTTTCAACGGATGGATTGACAGTCATACGATTTTCTGACGTTGACATTTAATTGAATTCTAAATAGAGCCAACACAAGAACCATAATTTCGTTTCTTTATTCCGCTGACATATACAAAAAGCACTGCAATTCTTCCTGTGAGTGCCGTATATCACATGCCTCACCTACTCATGAGAAATGGAGTTAGGTTCTAGCTCATTTCTCGTAGTAGTGCACATTTCACCGGCACTGATGAGAAGATGTAATCCTAGAATCATCCTAGAATCTTTATCCACAGCGCTTATATGTGATCATCATGTGGCTCCTTGAAGAGGAACAATTCCACTGATGAAGAGAGCGAATAAGATCATATTGACACGAGGTCATCATCTGGAGGCTATGCAATGACTATGTAAGCATTCAGGTATGTTCGACGAAGCTAAATAGGCCAATGTGAGCTTCTGAGGCATCTGACATCCAGCAGCATTATAGCGCAAGGAGGACCAGTAGCCTAGAGAGACTTTCGTGTAAGTGGCACTACAATTTACTCCTCCGCCTTCACCCATCTAGGTCCATACTTTCTCCTGACCAGTATCATCTGACATCGAACATCATTTTGCACAAGTGCACTTAGTCGTCGAGGCCACTTCGACACCTGCACAGGCTGCATCCTCTTTCGAGGTCTCTGTTCGTCCACCTTCTGAAAGTTAAACATTCATCTAGTAAAACGTTTGACATCCGAATATTCTCAATCGATTTCTTCAGCACTCCAAACCTTCCGAGACATGCTTCAAAATTTGCAGTATCTATTCACTAATCACAGATGACAGATATCATGTCACTAAATGAGAGCTATCTGTGAAAGCTGGAAACATGAAATGGCTGAATGTACCGAGTAACTTACCAAGGTCTCAGGAAGACCTGCATCTCCGCCGTCTGGAAGAGTTGCCTTCGCTTCATCTTGAACCTCATGAGCGAGTCGAGGCATTTCATAATTCAGTTCCTCCATCTCGTACTGGAGATCAAACCCCTTGCAGGCAAGTTCCTTCCCACTCGGAAGGAAATCTTCTTGTGAGCCGTCCATTTGAAACTTAGCCACCTTTGCTGCCAGTAGTAAATACAAGATAAATACTAGCATGCCCAGCAGACAATGGTGCAGACCGAGTTTCCATGGAATGTGCACTCGAGCTCGGGGGACAGCAGGGCACACACACGTTCTACGAGTGTCTGCTGTTGTTGAGGAAGCCATTGGTGGCATCTTCAGAGTAAAGCTCCCAGGGAAAGACAGTAGTGTGCGCTATCCAGAAGAAAAAAGTGAGCAGATTTCCTCCAAGTACCGGAGCTAGAAATGAAGCAATAACAACGGTTTAAACCATGGGATCGGTAGGCTAATTCTGAGTCACAGAGAAATACGTCAGTTCATAACAAACCCACTCCGACATAGAGCTGTCAACAGATCTGCAAGCAGCGAGGGTCAGAAACTTGAGAAGCGTTGGCCACAGGAGAGACACGATGAGGCTAGCACGAAAAATGTAAGCAAGGAAATCCTTGTCCTACTTGTGGCGGTAGTGTCATAACAAGACTCGAATCAGACGGAGATAAGTGCGGTTCACTGTGGCTGATACAGCGCATTCAGCACTTGCAAGATTTGAAGTGCCCAGACTATAATCAACGAAATGCAGAACAACAACCCAAAGCTCCAGTCCGGATGCTCTTCTGAGGAATCCCCTGTTATGTTCATAGAAGACTAAGACTTCTGACGAATCCACACTAACTCGAGGTTGAGACACTGCTGTGTCATGCAAGCTTATAATGCATGTAGGCAGGAAGACCATCAACGGGAGATAGTAAGATGAACTGAAGGAAGGATGTTCTCGATCGGCCACAAATACTGCGCTCCGGCTCAAGCCTCGATCGAAAACGTTGAAACAGAAACGTTAGTTACCGAAGCAACTTCCAAATTTCAACTTCCAAATTCGGACCGATGTTGCGGTCTGACTACGGGTCCAGCCACGGCTAGTATAGAGCTAACGACTTGAATTCAACTTCTCATCGGAATTGGCTGAAAGCGACCTGCAGTTTCGTTACAAGTTGAAGAGATGGAATGTGGAAGTGACATAAGCTACCACGTCATCGACTCGGAAGCCTGGAAGGTCCAGTCTGCGATGTGCACTTGGTTTTGGAAGCAGGTCACAACATACGTCGGGTCCACAATTTAAGAAGAATGACAGATAGGAAGGTAGGCATGAGTCGTTGTAATTTTGTTTGAATGCACACGGTGGCGTGGGAGCTGCTGGGGATGTGACAGAAGATTGAAACTTCTCTGATTGATCACTTCCGAGAGCAAGAGGATGTAGACCATCATCCTCGTGAATCTCTTGAAACATTAACAGATGCAGATATTTGGAGTTTAAAAAATTCTTATATCATGATATTATAACTGTACAATTTCTTTCACAAAAGATTTTGATGTTTTAGTACAGGACCTGATGTAATCAATTTGGTCCCCGCCACATTCTAACACGGAAGTACTTGGTCTATGAAGTAGCTTTGACCGAACCTGCCCTATCTGCATTAGAGCATCTCGCTCTTGCTTTTTCTATCTGAAATTAGACGGAGATTATGAAGGCCTGAGATAGCCGTAATGGACATCGCTTACTCGAATGGCCGAAAATGACAGGAAACTTCTCCAACATTGAAATGGAACCATGTATGGTGCAGAAAGAAGTTACAGTTCGCCAGGCCCAGCCTTCTAACGCCAAAGAAGATCTTCTTGTGGACGCTCTAGTGGAGGTAGCTTCTGAGATGGTTAAACCAGAATAGCACGAGCAACAGTTGTCCAAACCTTCCCAGAGGTTGTATTGACGTGGATAAGATGAACCATGCCAAGCATTCGAAAGTTCTGGTTAGAATCAGACAAGTCCAGACTTTGCTTAGCGTGCACATAATGTTGTTCATCACACTGCTCAACATCTTCAGGAGCAAATCGAGCTCGAGTTTGTAAGAGTTCGACTCCTAGATGATAAGATATCGCAAACCAAAATGGAATGGTGGCCTAGATGGAGCTGGTACCAACACAGATGACATAACGAAGCGAGGAACGAGTAAGTACCAGCAAGGACTCGGAAACCAAGAGCAAATGTAAGCACATCATGTTACGCACAGTCGATCATCCTCTGTCATCACAGTATCAGATCACAAACCACAGCGAAGTTCCATACTTACATCTTATGCGGAAGAGTCTGTGTTTCGTGTTCACAATCCCAATTCACCTCAGAAATTACCAACAGATTCCAAAGCATTAAACGCATCGGTGTTACTTGCGTAAGCTGTCGTTGATCATTTGAATCTTTTCCTTGGTCAGACACAAGGAGATCCACTGGACTAAAGGTGGGTCTTTCTTCTATCGTGACGAGTGCTATTCAGCCCTTCGGTGCTTTAAAACTTAAAACTGAGCTGAATCGTGCGCTAGGGAATCAATAGCTCTGCACTTCATGGTTTGGGTTCATAATGCGTGTGATGATCTGCTGGCCTCTGCCGAGCTCTGTTTGCCTTCGGACATCGTCCATGTGGACCATTCAGTTCGTTTACATTCAAATTCGAACTTTAGTCCATGGGTCTGGCTGTAGACCGTTGCATCAAGCACCACTCCTCACTCGTACTTTAAGCCTGGTGCTCATTCTCTCACTTCGTGTGAAGCTCTTCGCCCCAAGTCCACTTCCCAAGGCGGTGCTAGTTGTCATAAAATAGCAGTGCTCGTGGGAATCTGGACTTTCCCTGTTCCTTCTGTGACTTCCAACACAAATCTCTGTTTGCACAACGTCGGAAGGCATTCACTGCTGCTTTGTGTGTGGTTTTCTGACTGCAGATCTTCGTGCTAGATAGTTTCATTTCTGATCGTGTGATTGGTCTAAGGTAGGAAGGCACTCACTGCTGCTTTCTGTGTAGTTTTCTGATTGCAGATCTTCGTGCTAGATAGTTTCGTTTCTGATCATGTGATTCGTATAAGGTCCGCAGCTGTGTGGGCAAGAGTTGGATATGAGTGCCGGACTAGACAGACTTGTCATAATCGAGCTGCTTCGAGTTCCCAAACTGTAGGTCGCTGTGAAATTGTTCAAACCTTGACTGCACTTCGATCGGCCGGAGGAAATTGTTCTCTGCATCAACTGCGCTTATTTAGAGACTTCTTCTTCTTCGGTTGCCGCCTGACTGAGCATCGCAGGTCTTCCTCGACATCATCTCATCTGAGTCAGGAGAAAAATCGACTCACCTGTGAATGCCGGACGGCTTCTTTGTGACCATGGAGAAGTCCGAAAGAGAATCCATTTGCAGAGATGCTGTTCTAGCAGTGTTGGAGAACAATTGGGAGAGTTTCGCTTCGAAATTGAACGATGATATGGACTGCTCGGCCCAATCCAAAATGGAAATGGTTGCTCCAGTGCTTGCTTCGATGTGTGCCTTGACCTCGTCTTCACCAGCAACTTGGGTTAGGATCTACTTTCTTACTCCGTTTGTTTGCCATCCCATCGTTGATCCATGGCCTGTTCACATCCTATGATCGTTTCAGTGTCGATTCTTTGTTTTCTTCCTGTGATCGAAAGTGAGTCTTGAAAGTAATCTCGAAGTGATGAGTCATACTGACAACATGAATCTTCTTTGGAGCTCAAGTGGTCCAAGGCAGGAAGTAAAACTTCCTGTGGAGCATATGCTTCTGATTATGCACCACCTAATCGATTCGTGAGAAGAAGGCACCAGCCTCAGGTGATGGTTACAATCCAGTTCCGTGTGACCATGTTTGAGATATTTGCATGAGGTTGTCTGTTTTGGGGTAAGTGGGTAGTGCAGACAGTCAGTTTCACATTGTGTACACGTAATAAACAGAAATGTCTGTGGGGACAAGGATGTAATTCCCAGTTGGACCCACATTGTGAATGTGGTATCGGAGTCTGAACCTGTTCGTTCCGTTATATTCGTTGACAAGTTTAAAGCTACAAGCGAATGCAGGGGGGATCTGCTTTCGACTCGACGTCTGTTTCTTTCCCTTTCCGACCAGACCGACATATGGCCAGCTATCCAGCACCTGGAGAATCTCACCACAAGAAAGCGTGATGCTCTCGACAAAGAATCTCCTCCAACAGGTAATGGAAAGTGCAGGAGCTTGTGTTCTTCCAATTTGTACAGCTTGATTCTCTCTTCCGATCCACAAGTCAATCCTTCATTCCTGCGATCTTACCGTCGAGCAGCTCGAGGGTCGAAACTGATTGATACTTAGGCAGTTTATCCATAGATTCCTCTATAAAAAGGCAGTCTGAAGTAAATTAGAATGTTTGACGAAGCCTTCGACTTCTGACTCGTCTCCTACCTGCTCCAGCCTTCTTTCGGTATTCTACGCGGGAGTCAATGCACATACACGATGTATACGGGATCGACTTTGTCATCGACTTTGGCTTCTGAGTTGTAGTAGTGCTACTTGTCAAGCGGATCATACTGCTCGGGAGCAAAACGAACTCGCGTACAGGTTGCAGGAAAGATAGGCACGCAGACCTCTGCGGTCGATTGCATAAACATCGTGTTTGATGCAACCGTTCGAGGCAGTCCTCTTGGACTTACCTAGATTTTGGACAGAGGATTCCACAGCACATGATGATGATGATGATGAGGAGGAGAGCTGAAACAAGTTCGACCTTGGGATCTAGAGAAGATTGTAAATCATATCCATCAGACTTGCACAGTGCAAATTTTATTGCCAAGTGTATTCTGAAGTAAACCGATACATGTTGAAGTATTCAACGTTTCCTCCTGTTTCGTCAAGAGGCCATTTCTCGAAAGTTTTTGAATGAATCTCTTGGTCACCATCAAGTTTCATGATTCATCGGGCACAAGGCGAATGCTTATCATCACCGGAATCATTTGCACTAAGAATCAAAATTTGTTGCTCTGACAAAATCTCTGCATCACCAATTGCAGTTCAGTCCGATTCTAAAGATTACGGAAGCCTTCGATGCGAACCAGCACTGCCTGCAGAATCACATGAAGTCCCCTGTTTCCGATTCTCAATATATGCAGTTGACAAGTGGCTGACTATAGCTAGTGAGCCAGTTGTCAATCACTGTGCCATGCTCATATCTTATATTTTATGCACTTTGAGCTCCAGAATTATCTTCCAGCAAAGCTGGAAGATAATTTCTTTGTGTAGAGTGATGACAGTGTCCTTCACAAAGATCTCCCGATGGACGAGTGTGAACTTCCTTATTCTGCGCTCCTCATAATATACTAGTCCAAACTTTATGACGGGGCATCGGCGTATGCTTCTCGGTCAACGAGAACTTCCAGTCTCGTCGTGCTACACTACCAATAGGCTGGGTCCTCAAGCCCCTTGAGGACCCAGCCTATTGTTGTGTTCATGCAAAACGTGGTGACTAGTGGAGCATGTAGGCTCCAGACACCTCTCCGGAAGGGAACCTCGCGCACGGCCAGCCGAATACCAGACATTGTTCCATTTGGGATGGGAAAAGATGAAAGTGAACTCCATAATGTCAGAGACATTCTCCCGAGGCCTACGGCAGTTTCTGCTCTGCTCTGCTCAGCAAGTCCTTCGAGTTTCCACGAATTTCACGAATTTCCTTTCACTGAGAGGGATCCAGATTCAACTGCACATTCTTCGTGTGCCAGCCCTTGTTTCGAATTACTTTTTCATTACAGCAAAGTATACAATTACCTACGATACCACATGTACTTTCATGTTTCTCGTCGAGCATCGTGTTTTCATTGTCAGACATGACACTTGGCTCCGGCTAGCACTCGGTGAACATAGTCTCGGATTCCACCCTTGGATACTCCTTCTAAAGCACTTTATAGTCCTTCCAGCATCTGGCAGTGTTACCACGCATCCAGGTGCTACTGAAACGAGTAGCCGCCTCGTGGCAGCTCGATCTTTTGATTGGAATTAAAAAACCACGACATACTCGCGTCGAGTATGCAGAAACTGCAGGAGTAAACGCACAAACGAACAAGCGCTCGATGCGCCTCCGCAAAGCTCGAGCACTTATTTTTGTCCATGAACAGCTCGATCGACTTCGCTAACCACTATCCCAACATCTTCCCGATCACCTCGATTCCAAACTCTATTCGATACGCGAACACATTTAGTATCCTTGCCAGCGTCCCGTACACTTGGGTATCGGGGAAGTCGAGCCATGTTCTGCTAGAACGCCGATCCGAACAGTGGCAGGTCCAATCAACCACGAAGTTTGTAATCCACACTCCTGTGACGTTCATTACCACATCAGCAGGCAATGTTCCTTAAAGAGCTCCCAGCAGGATCAGTGCGAATGTGCATGCACGTCACTCGATGTCCAGTGCGTACGGGAACGAGAAAAGGCCGACAGACTCTCGCTGCTGCTGCTGGACCTGGACTCGGGCAGTTTTTTATTGTACACGGGAAGTCCCTCGCTCCCTCGCTCGACCATGAAGTGAACAGCAGGCCATGGCAGCAGGACCACACCATGTGCAAAATGAGCTCTGGTCTCGGTCATTGGTTCTCCAAGGCTCGTGAAACGGTGGACTCGAAGACGACGACGGCGGCTCTCGACGGCCGTCGGTAGGTTCAGTTAGGATCCTGGTCCCGGTGACGTCGTGTCGTGTCCAGCGGTCGAATCGGTCTCACGGACCGACCGGCTGACGGACCGAATGCGGGACTCGGTCGATGTCGAGACGCAGAGCTCGCTTTTCTGACCTCACCGACTCGATGTCCTGATCCCGGCCACCAACCGGAGCATGCCAAATCTCAGGAAATTTCGAGAACTTCTAGATCGAGTATCTTTAGAGGAACCTTGTGGGCCTACGTCCCACACTTCCCAGATGAATCTTGTGCGACTCACATCGATTCAGGAGTCAGGTTATGGATAAAACGGTGATTCTGAAATCCATCCATCCGTGCTTAAATTCCCCTTTATCCTTTATGCTGAAAAGCGGGAACAGTACAGGATCAGTCCATAGTCAAGCATGCAGCTGCTCTCTCTCTCTCTCTCTCTCGGTCGAGCCTCTCAGAACTCGGCAATGTTTTTTTCACCTTTCAGGACCCGGGAGAGCTTTTTGAATCTCCATGGGCTTGACTTTACACCGTGGATCGACTTTTTCATGCAACATGGGAGATACGATATGTGTTCTCACGACCGCTACAAGAGATCGAATCGATGGATGTCCTCGGAACAAATTCGATGGCGTGCTGGTTTTTGCAAAGCATCGATCCAAACGAACTTCTCACGTGGAGACAGGATGAGCCCTGCGTATCCTCTGAGCTCTGGGTTTCAAGCTACGCAAGCATTAAAACCTTTCCCTGCACTTACCGTGCCAGGCTTCAAAATTCGATCGGTCGGCCCATTCGTTGTTCATAAAAAATCAGATGTTCGAGTCAATTCACCTTAATCCTCGGGCGAATCAGTGCAAGGCTATGGCCTTTTGGGGTCTTTGAGAGTCTGGTCAAGCTATCTTAAGATGAAGTCTGGTCAAGATAGTCTTCATCTCTTCTGCAGACTTTTTTCTTTCGCCGAATATATGTAATTGCTCGTCAGACCTACAGATTTTTGAGCTTGATAATGAGGAATCAATGACTATTCCTTACCTCGTGAACAAGAGGGCTTTGCAATTTTTGCTTTCCAGTGTAGAGGAATGATATTGGACGGCTGGCATGTTATATGTGCACAATAGGATGGAACTTGTGAAGTATAACGCATACTTGTGGAAAAAAGCCGAAAAAGAATTCTTTCAATGGGACGTATATTTTATACATCAGTGTAGGCGTGAAGCAGAAAAACCACGTGTCCTGTTGCCGAGATGAGAACGATGTATCAAAATTATACAAAGAGTACACCACGTGGAGCCGTCAGAATAGGTATAATAAAAATTATTATTATAATAAGAAAAGCAAAAATGCTTGCAGGTCACACGCGTCGAAAGTGTATTGGACGTTGTATAAGCCCAGGAACCGCTTTGGTCGCAAAATATTACTAGGGATCGCCTTGCCGCCAATCGTGTTCAACAATACTTGTGATGACGTTGTGTCAATAGATGCTCTTGCCGAAGTCTCTTCCTCGAATTAACGCCAGGATGGACTTTTACGGGTTTGCGCCAATGTACATGTCAGTGTCAAAGTGAGCTAAATTTACATCAAAGGGAATAACAAGATTTGACACATCATGAGACTAGATGATCATGCGTTTGGATACATTATTGCGGACGTGAGGGACCATATGGTTTGCTACAAAGCTCCATTGTAGTGTTATATTAAAGCTACCTCCAGATTTGAAATTATCAACAAACATGTGATAATTTTCGTTCAATTTGACGAAAAATCGAGGCTTTTGGGTTAAGTTAGTCTCGAGACTCTTTGTAGGCTGGTGACGAGCAAATAACTTCGCCTCAGAAAACACAACTACCTCAACACCAAAGCGTATCACAGCGAAAACATCAATACGTTCATTGATAAAGATTGTAAGTTATTATTGATAATTTAGTCACTATTATTTGTGGTACCATTAAAATAATCTGGATTAGCATTCATCTTGATGGAGAGTGCTACTCCATATTGATAATTCCGTCACTATTATATGTGTGAACATAAAATAAAACATGGAATAGCATTTATTTTGATAACGTCTTGACTTTTCTCATTATCTTGACCTTCACTAAACTTATGGGATAGTACTGAGATCAAGTTCGGTTTAAAGTTCGTAAATAAAAACCGTCTATTTTGAAAACATCAGGAGGACAATATCATATTTGCATTCACGTTGAGATGAAATAAAGTGGCACATTGAGGTAAGAGCATAATTCATCGTGTTGTGCGAGTTAAGTATATACTCTTTTCATAACATGCTTCACGCGAGAAGAGGAGATAGGCTACGTGTGCAATGTATTCCTCTGTAAATAGTCACGCTATGGTATAGTCAACTCAGTTTAGTATATCATTGTGGTGGGAGTGATACACAGTATCTAAGTTGTAGGAGCTCCTCCACCACAAGATATTTACTTCAAGTTAAGGACACTTGATAGCTCCCTTCTCCATTGGGGCCTCTTTTGTTATTAACGCTATTTTGGTTCTCTCTGTTCATATTGTGTCCGGTCTTTCTCTATGTCATCCGCTTTCTCCCCAGTATGAGGTGATATGACACGTATTAAGTATCTTTTCTCTGATTGAGGTGTATACCTACAAAAGTCGTAGGAACTGTATGGCAGGGATCGCTGTCCCTACTTTCATTTGTCCAATTTGGCACCCGCTGTCCTGTTATGCTCTCATAGTGGGGGCCATTCATCACATCCGTCATGTTTAGAGCTTCCCTGGAATAATGAGTACAGTAGTAGCAACTCATCTTCATACGTCATCTCGTACTATCCTTGATACGTTGAGCACATCCATTCGAATACGTAGAAGTACCACGAGAATGGTTTACAATGAAGGTTCTTCTCCTGTAAAGGTTGATGTTGATATTTTTTCGTGATATAAGTTTGTTAAATTTTAGCGAGAATTGAAGTAAGGAATGATGACTTTAAGATCTTTGGATGGGGAGGCCAGCTCGCAGTCTCATGCCAACCATGTCTTTTGCAAAAGGGTCGGAATCAGATTCCTAAATATCACGAGGCCCTTTTCTTTTTATAATTGTCCATGTTCTTTTGCTTTCATCTTTCGTGTCTTGATTCATCCAGATTCAACGCCGTCGTTTTATTCGAGAAGCACAAAGCTGGCATCGACAGAGGCCTCGACGGCTGTGGACATGCTCTCAGTCATAAACGTTGCTGCAAGATATTCATGAAGACCTCTGTAAAGTGTACATACCCTTATGCTTGCTAATTGCCTGTGATTCAATTTTCTTTCATCATCATGCACAGGACTGAGGATGTTCAAGTGATATTTGACATGTCAACGGAGAGTGAGACTGTCTTCAGACGTATACATATGACGATATGCAAACAGTGGCAAAGTCTCTTGCAAAACTTATTTTCCCGCAGCTGCTTGTTTCTGTGACAACAAATTAAATAAAGAAGATTCTGAAAAGGGTATCGAGCCAAGATTGTTTCATAGCTTACGCTATAGCCGTAGAGCATATGGAACAGTGACAACTGAGCAACTGAACGTCCGACGTGGTTACACGTAAACGCCAGCTTGATTATGCATTCTGCCAAAGGTTGGTACTGCACATTTAGCGCAAATTTTTCTAGCGGTTCGTAGGTAGCTGTCTGAAGATGTTTTGAGTGTTCAGTATTCGTGTAGGTCTCTGGGTTGGCGATAACACTAACCCACTGCCTATTCAATATATGGTAGGCCAGTTGGTATCTAAGAGTATGGTAGCTAACACACTTAGGAGCATGTATTCAGGACTCTTGGGACATCAGGAGCTATTTTTTAGATGATCACTTTCGTAGGTTTTGTGTTCGTTCATTTGGTTAGTCCTCCTGGTCATGTTCATCAACAAGATAGAGGAACTGAGACACATGCATCCAAAGAACCGGAAGAAAGGGACTGACTTGAAATCCAATGCAAACAATCAGTTGGAAATAGAATTCTGCATCTATTATGATTTGATCATATTTGAAAAAAGAGATCCAATCTGCTGGTGAGTTCTCAAACAAATTCTGCCAACTTCATTCCGTATAAGCTCAAACTAATATATAATAAGAATAATTTGTGTAGTTGCCACAATGTCCAAATCGGGACACATTGGCTACTGAAACCGGAGAGGCACGCCTCCCCACTCGCTGTTACATACTAGAGACGGCAATTTGAAACAAAGCAAAGTGATCGAGACTATGAGCCCATGGTGTTGAAAGAACTCATCTTCCTTTAGAAGGATGCTTGGCTACCACCAAGCATTCGGTTGACGGTTTGACATCATCGACATTCAACAGGATTTATGACTACCCGATAAAAATCATTGTATGTTTCTATCCCTCGAGAAACTAAACGACACTTTGTTATCCACACATGGCCTATCTTTGACTGGGTACTCGATGATGATTGGTACCCTCATGATGAATATCAAGGTGAGCACGTCTTTCGTGTGATTGACGATGGTAAACATAAGCCGAAGTCACATCAAGAGACGAATCAATAAGACCTCTTCAAGAAGGATCTATCACAAATTGGCGTGATGGTGCAGCATTAATCCGGAGATGCTTTGATGCCCTCATCTGTGTGATCACTATCAAGATCAAAGTTCAAGTGAAAAATGAAACTGCGTCTACAGGAATACGAGACTCCATGACATTGCAACATGGACTGAAAGAAAGATCTTGTGAGTAGAATAACAATATAAGAAGTATCTTCATTGGGTTAGTGTTTTTTGGAGTAATCAATCACTTGATAGTCCAACCGACAACATTTGATTTCCTTATCCAGCAAGGAAGCAGAAAATATTTTGTTAAGTCTGTGTGATACAGAAGCAAAATGGTCCATGAAGTTTCTTACTGTTTTGCATTTACGAAATAAAGAGGTACTACCATTTTACTTTGTTATATCTTCTTGGCAATGGTAGTACCCACTAAGTTCGACGACCGATCCAAACATGTAGGCACTAGGTACCACCTTGTCTAGCAACTAGCCAGGTTA